TGGTGTACGTTATATTAGGAGTTATAAATCTTTTCAACTGGTTGCAGTTGTGACAGTCGTCCAATTGGCCATCACCCTTTGCTCTTCCCAGCATTTGCGTTCCATTTTTACTGTACAGTATGATATTCCACAGTATGGTTCTGGGCCAAAAAACTGTGAATTGGAACCTAACTTTGCTAGGTCGTCTGCCCTTTCATTCCCTACAATGCCACAGTGTCCTGGTACCTAATATAAGTTTACTGAGTTCCGTTGGCACAGTTGCCGAAGCGAGAGAATACATTCCCAGACGATCTTTGATGTACATTTGTAAGCACTCAGTGCTTTCAGCGCTGCTTGACTAATATTTGCACATCTCTATTTCCTCCTCAGACAAACATGTACACATTCAAGTATGGCTACAATTTCCGCTTGAAACACTGTTGGAAAATGTCACATCGCAACTGAAATATTTGTCCCGGGGCCAAAGATTCCTGCACCTGTTCGTTCGCATTCCAATTTTTGAGCCATCTGTGAAAATATGATTGAGCCTTGACGAACGTTATGACCACCAGTTTCCCAATCCGAACGTGCCGTTTCACATACGTTGAAGGCAATTTCATAGTTCTCCTCTGGTTTCATCCAGTCTCCATTCATACTCATCACTGGTCCTCTTTGGAAGTATGTAAGGTGCTTAGATGACCAACAAGATCACCTGGCACGACCTTTTTAGATCTTTTGAGCCCTAGAGCACTTCTTTCCGCTTCTAGTTGCACATGTTCATGCAAGGGCAGCAGATTGAGGATTGCTTCTAATGCTTTTCATAGGGTGCTACGCACCGCACCCGTTATTGCATGCTAGACGTTGAAATTTTGCTAGTTTCCTCTATGCAGTAGCCTTTTTTGATTTTGTTACACACTAACGAAGCATACGCTACTTTCGGATGGATTATTGATGTGTAATTCCACATTGTCATTTGTGGTTTCAAACCCCACTTTCTTCCAATAGTTAGGTAGCATGCCCACAGGGCACTGGTTGCTTTGTTAATCACAGAATCAAGCTGAGCATTTCAATTCAACTTGGCGTCCAACATAACTCCTAGGTATTTGACCTGTTCACTAAGATGGATCTGCTCTCCTCCAAGATTGAATTCTTTTAGGTTAATCTTCCTCTTTCTAGTAAAGGGGATGATTACGACTTACGATGGATTAATACTTAGACCCTCTTTAATGCACCAAAACTGGGTAGACTTTAGGGCCTCTTGCATTTTTTCAGAAATGATAACGTCAAACTTTCCTCTTACTATAATGACTATGTCATCCGCAAAGCCCAAAACTTCGAAACCTTTTGCTTTCAGGCTTCTTAGAAGATCATCTACAAACAGAGCTGGTAAATATCACGGCCGTCATGTGACGATGAGAAAACAGGTCCTCTCACTATCACTGGACGAAACTATCTATCATTAGCTTTCTTGTCATTTTTCTTTTTTTTCTTTATTAACGAGACTTTCAGCCTTAGGCTGGTTCATCTCTAGTGTCATTTTTCAATAATCAAGCACTCATGAGAATAATTCTTATGCGGTTTTGACATCAACATTTCTAGCTGATTTAGATGAATTTAATCAAACAACCGTATGTAATAGGTAAAGTGAATATATTATTAAGATTTCCTCGGTACAAGTAACTTTAATAGCATTAAATGAGCTAGTAATTACGATGATCACAACACTGTCACGCTCTGTCATGACGAAAATTTCGTTGAGATTTTGAAGAAAACCTCTATCATCGTTTTCTCATCCAAAGATAGTGACAGAAGTACCTATCTCTGTAAAAATTGCGTGAGATCTTTCATTGAAAATGACATTTGCCAGCCCTGTATACAACTAAAGACCACAGCAGTGGTGAGAGAACTCCTCCTTGAGGACAACCTTTCGTTGCCTTTACTGTTTTTCTCTAACTGACGAAGTTTTTCAATTCTTGTTACTAAGGTATGGATAGTGCAGTAACTGTTGACTTTCCGGATTGATACGCAAACTAAAAATTAGATAATGGATGCGTGAACATGTAAGTTGAATTGATCAAATCAATCAACACCTTTTCCATAGTCTTTAGCAGAAATGATGAAAGACTGATGGGTCTGAATGATTTTGGATGCGTTTTGCCGCGCCTCCCATGTTTTGGTATGAATATAACTCTTACCAATCTCCATTTTGATGGAATATAATTTAACCTTATACTTGCCTTAAAAATCTTAGTTAGAGCCGGAATCGGCACTGTTTCACCTCTTTGAAGTACACGAAAAAAAAAAACTGTTCCGGTATTCGTGAACAACAAATCACGAAAGCATGAACTGCTAGTTCGTTTGAATTCATGACTTAGTTCCCGTAAACGTGATCGAGTAAATAACATTTTCATGAAATAAATCCCAAATCCATGAACTTAAGTCACGCCAGTTCAGCGCGACCATCGATTTCATACCGCTACAGAAAACACAAAATAAAATCATGATTTCGTGATCCATGAACCCATACAGTGATGGAAAAGTTCGCGAAAACTCACTATGCCTCGCGAACTTTTCACTTCGTGAAATATCGCGAACTTTTCCAACACTGAACCCATAAGCGTGATTTTCGTTCTTGAAATCGTGAAATAGCGCCGGGAATATTCCGTCCACACCTGCAGATTTAAAGGGCTGAAAAGATCTCACCGCATTTTGTACTCTGGCCTCAGTAAAGATTTTATCAGCTATATCTGGTGTGGTGTCTCCTCTTTTTTGAGACTCCGAAGAGGTATCCGTAGAACATCTATCATCAACAAAATCAGAGTTAGGCGATTCCTCACACAAGACTGATCCTGGAAAATGAGTTTCCATCATTAGATCTAAAGTTTCAGAAGGAGATTTGGTGAAACCTCCATCAAGACATTTAAGATTACCAAGTTCTGTCGTATGATCTTTCGAAAGATTTTTTTGTAACCGTGCAACTTCCGGAATACTGTTTATGCTTTCACACATTCGAATCCAAGACCGCCTCTTAGATTTCCTTATTTCGTTATTATATTCAGATAGAGATTTTTTGTACTGCGTCCAATCAGAAGTGATTTTCGCCTTATTGAACTTTACTAGAAGTTTTCCGACGGCATTCCAAATTCGAATTCCACCACGGTACATCCCTGCTGGACGAGGACCGCTTGATAGGACAACTACTGTTGAAAACATAGTGTAGTACTAGAATTTCGACTAGAATGGGGTACGCTTATAGATGTACTTGGGACCAATAGACTAGTCAAGTAGTGAGCCAATTTTAAATCGTTTGTACTTAACTGTAAATTATTGCTTTTGAATTGTTCAATATAATTTTCAAATTTTGTGTGTCACCTAAAGTTACAATAATTTTCAAAATTTACTCTGAAGAATCGTGACTGATTTTCTCAGAATTGGGTTGGCCAAATTTTGAAATAAAAGTAGTAGTAGAACACTTATGCTATACCATTCAAATAACATTTGGAGATCGAAAATTGAACGTAAAATGAGAGATCATTGAACAAAACATATTTGCATGAATCCTTTAAATTTGTCGAACCTCTTAACGGAATCCCTTTATGAAGAGCTTTGAGTGGGTTGGTTTATTTCCTTTAAATTCCGTTATAATTGCTTATTTTTTGACAGATACGCGTATTTCGTCTACTACTTGCAGACTTCATCAGTGCCAAGTACTCAACACCACTGAAGAATCCATCTTTAATCTACGAGTTATATACTAATCAATAGGTACTAAAAATCAGCAGGTATCTACTGCCATGTCAAAATTTACCTAAACAGGTACCTAAATTCAGTCTCCAACCTTCCGTTCCTGTCGCACAAATCACTTCAATGGCCACCCCAGAGCCCCGATTTGAGTCCAATCGAAAATCTTCGGGCTATCCTCGATAACTGAGTGAATAAAACCGGTGTTAGCATCAAACAAAAATATTTTGCAGCACTGGAAAAGGCCTGGGACGATTTGGATCCTCAGCACCTCAAAAAATTGGTGGAAAGCATGCCAAAGTGTAGAAAATTGATTTCTAATTCAAAACTTGCATTTGGTATCAACTAACATTATGTCTAATTCGGTACTCAAAATACCTATATTTTCACCATAAAAATCATCAATCTCCTTGGGGTGCCCATTTTACCCCCACCACCCCTACAATAACTTTATGCGCTGTGTGCGGTTGGTATAAATAATAAATAATTTAGCTAACTTGCTGTCGTTGGTGGTTAATCTTGGCCTTTAAAATGACCTGGACGCAAAACTCTACACATCTAAATTGTAAGAGATAGGGTTCAATATGGGCGGGCTATTATCATAGAGGTAACTCTAAGACCACTGGGTCCCGAAGAAAATCATTATTATTTTTGGCTCACTCAGTACCAGAACAACGGTCCCAAGCAGTCCCAAGCTATTTCACTCACCCCTGCATGTTCTGCATGAATCCACACACCCCTGATGTTATCTGTCAAACTTTCATAGCGAATCAAAACAAACATAGTGTAGTAATAGAATTTCAACTAGAATAGGGTACGTTAATCGTTTGCTTGGGACCAATAGGCTACTAAAGTGGTGAGCCAATTTAAAATCGTTAGTTTCGTATTGATTGTTGCTATTATCACTTACTTATCAGGTAATGTGATAAAAACGAACCAATTACCTGTGCAGAATATTTTAAATAGATAATGAGATGTCATTTTACAGACTTCGGGGTTTTTTTCGATCTCGTACCACCTTTAATTATCGCAAACTGGTAAGGAACTAACGAATCATACTAACATAAGCCATAAAACAATCGGAATTCCGGTTCGTCTTTCCGATTTATACTTCGTCTCCAGACATAACAACTCGACAGATCATGTACGAATCTAATCCAATTAATGAACAACGCTAATCGCAATAATCTGCCCGGTTTTCGTAGCAATTCACTCAACAGAAACACAGTATTCTACAAGCGACACCTGTGCGCAAAGCCCAAGCACGGCACGACACACACCTGCTGCTGACAAAGCATTTGATGGGTTGAGCACTAATTAAATTAATGTGGGCGATCAAATTATTTCCATTCATCTTAGTTTATGACGGGGTGTGTAGAATAGGGTGCTTCATTCTGAAAAAAGTGACGAATTTCTGATGGGCCACCCTCCAGTTCGATTCATAGCCCCAAAATATGAACCTGTGTAAAAATTGGTAAAGATTGATGAAGGTTTAGAGGTCGCGCCAATGATTTGAAATTTGTATGGGAATTACTATGGAAGAATTTAAAAAATCGCTTATATCGCTATAACTTTGCTTCTACTTGTCCAAATGTCGAAAAAATTTAGTATGTTATTGCTATGGCAATAAACAAAAAGCCTACAGTTGCTACGCTCAGTTTTGCAGCGTATCAAGAATTATAAAAATGTGAAAAAATGGCAAAATAGGGTAAATTGACAGATGAATATGTACAAGGCAACAACGCCAATTTCATCGCAACAACAACAGGCTTGTTGATCATTGTCATGACAACCACATATTTTTTTTTTTCAACGTTTGGACAACTACAACCAAATTTAGAGCAATGTAAACGAAAATCAATAATTTCCCATACTAATTCACCAAAATCTCCATACAAAATCCAAATCATTGGCGCGACCTCTAAACCTTCATCAATCTTTACCATTTTTTGCACAGGTTCATATTTTGGGGCTATGAATCGAACTGGAGGGTGGCCTATCAAAAATTCATCACTTTTTTCAAAATGAAACACCCTAGTGTAGAAACGTCTCAATTACACTAAATGTGCTCAGAATGCTACCTCTCCTTGTGCGGTGGCCGATCTATATTCCTCACCACTTCTCGGTTAGTAACAGATATTAAACAATTAATTCGATTGATACGCGATCCTCGAAAATCGTGCGGGTGGTGCCTATTTTTTGTGAGTTTTGCGCGGCTATTAGGTATTTCGCACTTCCTTCTAGCTAATTAAGTTGACTGACCAAGCGGACATGAAACCCGGAAGATCGCGGTACATTTAGATTATGTTCTGTTCGTTCGCGCACTGTTCGTAGCCTAATCTGATCACGATTCGAAATTTGCATTACCCTAAAAACATTTAAAAACCGAACTTACCCCATTGTGGAAGCTTGTGTAAAACGTATCCTAGCAATTCACTTGCCAAATGCTAACTACCGCTTACAGACGCTACTGACTTTCAAGTTGCAAGCGCATCAGCTGTTGACAGGCAGGCGGCAGTGTAAGCGATAAGTGTATTTGAAATTTGATAGCGGAAAATAACACCACTGAAAGACACAATCTTACTTGTATGAGCTTAATATTTATGGTTGTCGAATGAACGCGTCTTCTTTAGTATGAAGTGCGATGACTGAGACAAATGACTTACCTATTTACTTAATAATTAAATTCCTACCTTCCTAATGCAAACACATACTTTATATTTCTTCTTATCCTTCTTTGAATATTACGTCGCAAATTAAACGTTGCAGCTTGCCCCTAACGTACTGGACCGGAAATCGAGCCTCCAGCATGCCCTTGCTTTTTAGCTCGGCCTTTACTTACGAGCTAAGGGAGCTATATACTTAGATGACCATTTCAAGCAGTCTGCATTGATCAATTCTCTTCAAAGATTTTATCTCTTGATAACCACTTCTAGGTAAAAAGATTCCGTGCTATTGTTGCCTCACTAAATTTTATGTGAAAACGTCAAGGGGTAAGTCACTCAGCACATTGTGCCGAAATTAAATTCAGCACAGCTTGAGCACATCCATCGGCACACCTGAGGCACAATCTCGTAGGCATTGGATTATTGTAAATAAAATTGCAGCACTCCTGGACAACTGTCATTGAAGTTGTTCACAGCATTATGTGCTGTTTGACAGTATATTCAGGATCATCCTGTAATTGAATATACTAGAGGAACTCAGACCAGCAATTCACTTATAGATCTGAATACGAAATGTAGGTTCAAGAGAAAGAGGCAGTTAATCAAACCCCATTAGTACCTTTAATTCAAATAACGCTGCAACTCACACAAAACAAACTACAGAGGTCTATTGATCGTCCTCTATACTGTATCTCCAACAATGTTCCCTGCCGGTTCCAACTCTTTTCGGCCGCTAATAGACCGTTGCTTTTTAAATCACGAAGGTTAGGTTTCTGGTCTGCCTTTGAGGGCATTATAAAACACTGAAAGCAGGACTTTTATTGTCCTATGAACACAAAACACCAACATTTCGCACACCCGCCACTTCCCGCGTCATTCTCAATCCGATTTATCCTTGCTATTTCAAACCAAAACATTCAAGGTGTTAGAAATACCGGGTTGGGATGGGTATTTTACAAACAATCGCAGCTTGCTCTATGACCGCCACAATCGGCACACTTACGGCACACTGACAAAATAGATGACCCAAGAGTGGTGTGCGGAGTGACCTACCCCTTGAAATATCCCCATCCAAGTCAGCGGCGCCGGTGGTATAGTGGTAAGCGTGACTGCCTCTCACCCCAAAGGACCTGGATTCAATCTCACTCGGCACCGTCAGGATTTTCTGAGGCATAACATCTTTGATCACACCTTCCTTCGGAAGGGAAGTAAAGCCGTTGGTCCCGGTCCATAAGTTTATGGGTCAGTACGGAAAACAAATCAAAGAAGAAAAATAAGCAAACATCGTGAATAAATTATTGTCTATGTTTATCTAAAAATGTGTTAGATAACGGCAAGGATAAGGAAAAACAATAACAATACAGTGCCAATAATCCAGATCAGTTGTTTTAACAATTTTTTTCAAATTTGAGTTTAACTGCCGGGTTTGTTCTAGGTAGTAAATAACCATAAAACACATATTTGTCTCGAACAGCTAACCTTCTATCACAGCACCTGGTAAAAGAGTATTTATTGTTTTATTGTCAAAATAAGCACATTCATTCGAAAGACATGCACAGCCCATAAAAGCATAACAATCACATCTTTCTTAATGTCCTTTTCTAATGGGACTGTTATGCATTTATGGGTAGTGGACCCATACTCACAGGCATGCGCAGACTTCTTCATTAGGAAGGGGGGAGGGCATTCAAACAATAGGGGGGATCTCATATCTTAAATGCCTTTGAGGGGCGTATTTATTTAAGAGAGACAGACAATGGACTGGGCGCTGTTTGCGAATTTAACGTTCAAAATACTGCAAAACACATTTCAATCATAAATTTTCAAAAGGACGTATGTAACATTTGATAGGAAATTAGAAGCGTTGGATAGCAATGTCCATATGAGATCATTAAATCCTATTTAAAAGCTAATGCTTTTTTTAATGTTTCAGCTATTAGTTGGATAAGAAAATTATGAAAATGTTGAGTTTTCGAAAACACGGACAAGACTTTTGATTAAACAAAATGATACACATTTTCCTTGTTTGCTACTCATATACACCTTGATTGATTCGTCGGTATCACGTCTTGATTGCTTCTACACCCTGCATGATTCGTCAATTTGACAGATCGGTTTTCACATGCGTCAGATCAGATACACCGGTTTATGTTTTGCATTGAAGATACGTCGGTAACTCGGAAAGAATTGAAGATTCTGTGGCTGCGCTGGGAATATGTGCAGAAGCAAACTGTTTTGACTCATCAACCTGGGTGGCTGCATCTAAAAAATAAATTTATAATAGGGTAGAGAACTACTTCGGCCTAATCGCCCATTTTGGGCCTATCGAGCAAAAAACTTCAAATAAATCCATGATTTCAGAGTTGACAAGTCAATTATGCGTTTGGTACGATACTTTAGTTAATAAGCTACCGAACGAAGTCAATGAGAACCCGTAATATGAATGTGTGCACCCATTATTCCTAAAAACAAAAGAAGCGCTTCGACCGAATCAATGTTTATCTTCATCCGATAGATAGGCCGAAGTGAATTCATTAGCGTTTCAATGCGTTAGGCCGAGTTTAGAATCCGTAGGCCGAGTTTGGTGTCAAGAAGCAGTGTTAGACTTTTGACAATATCTCAACGATTGGTTTCTCTTTATCAAATCTTACGGTACGTACGGAAAGGTAAATACATTTTAAAGCCATCAGTAATAATAACATTCCGTTTGGTGCTAAACTGCGCTAGATTAAGAAATACTAAGTGCGGGTTGTGCTTAATAGGCCGGAAATAGGGTAGTTAACCCTATTTATGTTTTTTTTCAAACATACCTAGCAATAGTTTAATCCCGTTAAAATCCATTTTGTATCTACTTGACGCATCTGCTGATTGAAAATGATTGCTTTGTTTTTTTCACATATGACGTTTCACTGTGAGCGTATCTACAAAAATTTTGACAGTTAAGTCCTGATTACAATAAAAGGGTGTATCAAAACTATTTTAAAAACATAGGTTTACACTAAACAGTTTTGAAAGTTTAATTATATCGTGAAGGCGCATAAAATATACATTAAATAAACATACAACTTTTAGTGTTAAGAGATCATCATTAAAACATACACTGAACACTCTTTATTTTTTTCAGCAGTTGAAGCAGTTTGAGAGTCCCAAGTGGTTCGAGTCGAATGGCTTACACTCAGATACGCAATTTGGAAGGGTAAGGGAACGGACGACTGCCTTGCGTTGCTTTCTACTGAAATTCAACTGGCCTATGCTCGCAAACAGCAAATGGGCTCAGTATTTTTGGACCTTAAGCCCCCTCTTTATAATTTGTATGTAAAGGACATTGACGATTGTCTTGTTGAACATTGCTCGCTAAGGCAGCTTGCAGATGACGGCGTGATTTCCGTCATAAGACCGAAAGCACCGAACCTGCAAGGACTATTGCAAGATACCTGGGATAATTTGTCTACTTGGGTTTTGAAGCTGGGTATCGAATTCTCTCCGGAGTAAACTGACATGGTTTATTTTTGTCTAGGAATCATTATCAAGCACAAATACAGCTTCAACTCATGGGTAAAACCATCACTCATGGCATGTCTTTTAAGTATTTAGGTGTCTGGTTCGATTCCAAATGCACACGGAGAAAACATTTTGCGTATTTGAGGCAAAAATGCCAGCAAAGAATCAATTTTCTCCGGACTATCCCCGGTACTTGGTGGGGAGCCCATC